CCAGGAGAGGGAACAGCTCACATGAAGGCATTTCCATGGCTGGCTCCTTCTCTGCCTTGGGTCTTAACTTAAAACTCATCTCCATGGAGAGAGCTTTCCTAACTCCTTAGTCTATAGTAGTGACTCCTGCATTTGTCTCTCATGGCACTCTGTTCTTTCCTTTAAGTACTTACTATAATTTGCAATATATATCTATGTATTAGTATCAGCCGCTCCCCCACCCACCCATGCTCCATCCTGCCCAGACTATAAGCTCTTTGGGGACAGGTCTGTCTTGTTCATCAGTATATATTTGGTGTTGGGCACATATTAAGTGCTCAAGAAAGTTGAAGGAATGAATGAATTATACAGTTAAAATTTCACTGTGGTAAGTCCTGGAAAGGACAAATAAGGGTAGTTTGCTCTGAGAACAAACTTTAACAGAGGCTGGGATTATTGGAGGGCTGGTCTGGGGAAGTGATGCTTAAGTTGAGACCCAATGGACTGGTATCACATAGAAGGCCTTCGCGACTCGGGGGAGCAGTGTGTGCAAAGGCCCTGAGGTGGAAAGGAGCACAGTATGTTTTAGGATCTGAAAGGTAGAACTCAAAGCAAGAAGGAGAAATATTCTAGAAGAGGCAGGTGAGGCAGGCTAGAGGCTGACCAGGTAAGACCTTCAGGAGATGTGGAAGAGTTTGGAGTAATGAGAAGCCATTTTAAGTACAGGAATGATTCCATCAAATTTGTGTAAGATCAGTCTGGCTGCTGGGTGGAGGCTTTCTAAGATGGGGTTGAAGAGGGATGGGGCGAGAGTCAGGACAGCTGTAGAATGACCAGGAGTTCACAGGAGGCAATGTGAGAAACTGTGGCTTGAACTAGGCTGAGGGAAGCAGAGCTGAACAGACAATTTCCAAAGATACTTAGAAAGATATGCAAAGAAGACTAGGTCCTTGTCTTCAAGACTTACCTTTTCTGAGCATGGAAAGACACATAGAGGAATTGTAGGCCAGGTGTGGTGGCTCACACCTGTAATCCCAGCACTTTGGGAGGCCGAGGCAAGTGGATCATGAGGTCAGGAATTTGAGACCAGCTTGGCCAACATGGTGAAACTCCATCCCTACTAAAAATACAAAAAAAAAAAAAAAAAAAAAAAAAAGCCAGGTATGGTGATGCACACCTGTAGTCCCAGCTACTCAGGAGGGTGAGGCAGGAGAATCGCTTGAATCTGGGAGGTGGAGGTTGCAGTGAGCCAAGATTGTATCACTACACTCCAGCCTGGGCAATAGAGTGAGACTCAATCTCAAGAAAAAAAAAAAAAAAAAAAAACAGAGGAATGGTAAAGGGAAGAAACAAAGAGGAAAAGAGGAAGAGGAAAGGATTAGGGCCTGGTATAATAAATCCTGAAAGTATTAAGAAGGGAATTCTGGGAGGAGATAGTCTAAGAATTGTGTCCTACCAAATGCTGATGCTCTGATTCTCTTACAAAATCCCCCATGTAACACAGGAGCCCAAAACATATTGGTTTACCACTGGAAATAATCGTATTTTGCATTAATAGTTTTGGCCTTCAGCCCATCTTCATGCAGTTTCAGATCTGATTTTTTTGTTTGTTTGTTTGTTTGTTTGTTTTTGTTTTTTTTTTTGCTACTCGACAGATTGCATTCTTGGTTGCCTTTTAATTGTTGAATTGCTGTTCTTTATCTGCAGTCTCTGACTAGTAACCTTATTATAGCAAGTGCCCAAGACTTAAAAGTAAACAGTGAACAATAAAAATCTATAATAATGAAAATGCTTAAATTAAATAAAAATCTCCTAACATGTAGCTGAGCATACTGAAATGGATTGTATGAGTCACCAACTGTATGAATGATTTATTTTAGAAGTTATATCAGCTGGAAAGAAAATAATAAATATATCAATCTCATCATTCAATACCCAGGCCAGCCCAAATACACTCATCACAGAGCCTCTGAATGAAATAGTCTCATGCAGAGATTATTAATCTATAAATAATATCCTAATGGTCTGTTAGTGTTTAAGACTACTGTTTTAAAATATTTATTAGTGGCTTTAAGAGCTGTTTCATATTTCTTTCCACTGTCCCATATATGTTTGCAACTCCGTGTGAGTGTATGTGTGTGTGTATGTGTGTGGGTTTATGTTGTAGCCCACTAAAATAGCCATGCTGTGATAGCCAGATGAAGAATCTGCTCCTGTTTGCAATACTATTTTAAAGACAAGTAAGAAAAGAAAAAAATCTCATAAAATATTAAAGAAAATCCTAATTTTGTTACTTGAGAATACAGAATGGCTTTACAGAATACAGAAGAAGAGAATACAGAATAAATAGAGAGATATCTTCTAAAGTCTATTCCTCTTTTATCACAACAGCAAACAGGTATAGCATGGTACTAAGAAAAAGCTGTTTTTCCTTCTGTAGTCAATACTTCTGACACCAAATGTGTGGGTTTCCCATACCAAGCAATTCTGATACTGCCTACCTGGAGTTGGTGCAGATCCCCCACATTGAGGGATCAGCCCACAAGACTGCCCTCCACTCAGACGCCAATCACAGGTGGGTCCCCAGGTTACCCACACTTCTGTCCAACTTGGCTACACATCAGGGGTTCTCACAACTCCCCTCAGGTTTGACAATTTGCTAAAACCGCTCACAGAACTCAGGGAAACACTGATGTTTGCTGGTTTACCATATAATAAAGGAGATAGAGGAGCAGCAAGATGAAGAGGTGTATAGGGTGAGGTGGAGAAGGGTCCTGCGTGCAGGGGCTGCTGTCCCTTTATGGTTTGGGTACACCGCCCTCCCAGCATGTGGATGTATTCACCAACCCAGAAGCTCTCCGAACCCCATACGTCAGGGATTTTTATGGAGGTTTCATCACATAGGCATAACCAATTATTAACTCCATCTCCAGGCCCTCTTCCCTTCCTGGAGGATAGGGGGTAGGGCTGAAAGTTCCAAGCATCTAACCATAGCAGTATCACACATTTCTGGTGAGCAGCCCCCATCCAGGGGCCCATCAGCAGTCATCTCATTTGACAAAAGACACTGCTGTCACCTAGAACATTTCAAGGAATTTAGGATCTCTGTGTCAGGAACTGGGGTTAAAGACCAAATATTAGAAGAAAAGATGCTCCCTACGAGAATAAAAGATATCAAAGAAGATCAGTTAATTAAACATTTTACCAAAAGGAAATTATAAAAGTTTCAGGAACTCTGTGGCAGCAACTGGAGATGAAGGCCAAATATATCTTCTCATATCCCAATATCACACGTGGTGAGAGATTTGATCAGCACTTCACGAAAAAGGAAACCCAAATGTTCAATAGTCATATGAAAAGTTACCCCACTGTCTTCGTAATTAGAGGAACACATATTGAAATAGAAATGAGATATCATAACAGAATGGCTACAATTAAAAAGACTGATGACACCAAGCATTGATGAGGGTGTGGAGCAATGGGAACACTCCTACATTCCTGGTGGGAGTATAATTGATACAACCACAACTAAAAACTACTTGACAATCTCCATAAGAGATGAACATGTACATACTCAGTTATTCTACTTATAAGAATACAGTTGTATTAATTTTCGATCACTGCCATAACAGATGACCACAAACTTAGCGGCTTAAAAGAATACCAGTTTATTATCCTACAGTTCTGCAGCTCAGAAGTGGGAAATGGATCTCCTGACTTAAAATCAAGGTGTCAGCAAAGTTGTGTTCCTTCTGGAAACCCTATGAAAGAATCCATTTCCTTAACCATTTCAGCTCCTAGAGGCCCAGGCACAGTCCTTGTCTGATGGTCCCAAAGCTAGCAAAGGAGAGTTCTCACATTACGCCACTGTGACGTCCTCTTCTGTCTCCCTCTTCCACATTTAAGGATGCTTGTGCTACCCTGGGCCTGCCTAGATAATCCAGAATAATCTTCCTACTTTAAGCTTGGCTATTAACAAATTTACTTCCATCTTCTACCTTCATTCCCTCTGCCATGAAATATAGCATATTCACAGGTTCTAGGGATTAGGACACAGGCATCTTTGAGGGATCATTACTTCACCTGCCATGATAGCCAACAGAAATGCACACATATATGCTTCCAAAGACACCTACCTCTAAGGTTGCTTAGCACAGTATAATCTTTGTTGGCCAAAAGGTAGAAAAAGCCCAAATGTACATCAGGGGTAGAGTAGATTTTTATATATTGTATATTGTGGTATGTTCATAAAACATAATTCTTTACAGCAGTGAAATAAATGAGTCACAGCTTCAAGCTCCAGCTTGAATGGATCTCACAAACATAATGTTAAGCAAGAAGCCAGACACAAAAAGAATACATATGGTAGTACTCCGCTTACATAAAGTTTAAAAACATGCAAGCCTGCTGCTGGAAGTCAAGGTAGTGGCTTCGTGTGGGGAGGAAGAAGAAAAGTGATTAGGAAGAGAGTGAGGGCTTTAGGATGCTTCTGGGTCATGTTCTGCTTCTTGACCTGGGTGGTTACATGACACACATGTTCACTTCATGAGCATTCATTGAGCCATACAAGCAAATGTGTGTACTTCTTTTTCTTTGTAATGCTCCAATAAGATTTTTTTTAAGAACATGGTTGTGGCACTGTTTCTCATCAAATGTTTCTTTCCTATTGGTCTCATCCCTATAAGATAAGCCCTTGAGGACAAGGGTCATGTCTTATCTGTGGATCTCCAGAGCGGATGCTCAATACATGTCAAAAAGATTCAGTCCTGGTGGCTGACACCTGTAATCCCAACACTTTGGGAGGCTGAGACAGGTGGATCACGAGGTCAGGAGATTGAGACCATCCTGGCTAACACGGTCAAACCCTGTCTCTACTAAAAATGCAAAAAAGAAAAATTAGCTGGGCATGGTGGTGGGCACCTGTAGTCCCAGATACTCAGGAGGCTGATGAGGCAGGAGAATGGTGTGAACCCGGGGGGCGGGGCTTGCAGTGAGCAGAGATCGCGCCACTGCATTCCAGCCTGGGCAACAGAGCCAGACTCCATCTCAGGAAAAAAAAAAAAAAGATTTAGTCCTTAACAACCACTTCCAAGATAACCGGGGCTGCCACATATGGTTTCTCAGGATGCGCACCGCACCACTCCAGAGCTTGTTATCCACACTGTCTCTGGCTCCACATAAGTAAAGCAATTGTTATCACCTTGTCCAGTGTCATGGATAAGGAAACCCAGGCTGAGAGCCTAAGAGACACATTACAAAGTGAGGGAACAGATCACAAAATTGCCCTGACTCTGACACTAACTGCAAGTTCAGGGGTTCTCCAAACCACTTTCAGATTTGATATTTACTAGAAGGACTCATAGCTTCGCTGAAAGCTGTTCTACTCAGAGTTATGGTTTATTACAGTGAAAGAAAACAGAATAAAAACAGCTAAGGGAAGAAATGCATGGGGTAGAATCCAGGAAAGCTCCAAACACACAGAGCTTCCAGTTGTGTTCTCCCAGGGAGATATACCCAGCATTACTTTCTCAGTAATGATGTGTGACAATACACATGGGATACTGCCAACTAGGGAAGTTCCCCACGCCTTAGTGTCCAGAGTCTGTGTTGGGCTTCACCACATAGACATGGTCACTGCCCATGTGGCTGGCCTAAGTCCCCAGCCGCTCTAGAAGTTAAGCTGATACCACATGACTCAAAGACCCCACCATACATCACAATGTTAGACTTTCTGGTGTGGCCCAAAGCCCTCAGGAAAACTTTTATCATGCAAGACATTCCAAGGGCTTAGAGATTGCCTCTCAAGAGCTGAGCACAAAGTCCAGGCCTCTCTTTAGGCAATGTGAAATTATTTACTGCACACATATCTAAGGTCACACCTGAGGATGGAGACACATCTGAAAATGGAAGTTTCTGGAAAGGTGGCTTAATGTAATGAGCTCTAGAATGAGAAAAACTTAGACCCATATCTTGACTCTGCTCCTTAGCTATTTGAACTTGGCCAAGGCTCTGTTTTTATTGGTAAAACAGAGATAATAAGACAGAGGTCATAGGGTTATTGTGAGCATTAAATAAAATAACTCGGGCAAAGCACTGAGATAAGTACCTTCAATAAATGGTGGCTATTTTTAAAAATACCTGTTGATTGATAGATCTTTTATTGCTGTGAGCGCCCATGCATTTATTGACCTGACCATGTTTGTGGTATACCACCTGATGTCACCACATGGTCTTAGACTCCCCTGATGGCAGGGCATAGTCCTCCTTAGGGCATGAGTGCTAAGAGATGGTTTCTTTATGGGAAAATAAGTAAAACAGGAATCTCTCAGCCAGGCAGTAATAACTTGTGGGAATGTGTGAAGGGCAGAACAAGCAGGTTTCAAAGGGTGAAAAGGTAGCACAGCTTACCCTCTTGAAGACTGGCACCCATGGTGGGTCAGGATTCATAGACATCTCAAGGCCCATATCATTTCATTGCCTCCCCAGCAGCAGGAATTCACGTTCTCGTGCTCTGCTGTTGATAGGGTTCAGTGACACTGTTCCCACCTGCTGTACCTTCAGATCAAATTGAACATAGAGAGAGAAGGTAATTGGTTGGACTTTATTATCTTCACCTCTATTGGACTTAGCTCTCATACCAACACACATCTGGCCAGCTTGCGGGATGGATGTGCCTGAGTCAGAAGCCTGCTCCTGGTCCAATCAGCTGTGGCTCAGGAAGCAGCATCCATGTGGTAGCAGGAAGGAAATTTGGGATTAAGGAATTGTGGTAGGCAGCCTCTACGATGGCCCCAGTGAACCCCACCTCCTAGTATTCACACCGTTATATAATCCCTTCCCTTGATTGTGGACTGGACTTTTTGACTGGCTTCAGTGATGGTATGTCACTTCCAAGATATTAGGTTATAAAATGCCTCTGGCTTACATCTTGATTACTTTCTGTTGCGCTCTCTCTTTTTTTTTTTTTTTTTAAGATGGAGTCTTACTCTGTCACCCAGCCTGAATGGAGTGCAGTGGCGTGATCTCAGCTCACTGCAACCCCCACCTCCTGGGTTCAAGTGATTCTTGTGCCTCAACCTCCCAAGTAACTGGGACTACAGGGCTATACCACCATATCCTGCTGTGTTTTTTTTTGTTTGTTTTTTTTTTTGTATTTTTAGTAGAGATGGGCTTTGGCTATGTTGGTCAAGCTGGTCTCGAATTCCTGGCCTCAAGTGATCTGCCTGCCTTGGCCTCCCAAAGTGCTGGGATTACAGGCATGAGCCACCAAGACCAGCCTCTTGCTCTCTTTCTGATTACTCTTTCTGAAGATTCCAGCTGTCGTGTCATGGAGGTAGCCCACATGAATGAGTTTGGAAGCAGATCTTTGGAGGCCTGCAAACAGCCACATGAGTGGGTTGTGAATCAGCTCTTCTCCCTTTGAGCTTTCAGATAAGACTGCAGCCCTGGTCAGAGACCTTGAGCCAGAAGCACCAGCTAAACCAACTCAGATTCTTAACCCATAGGAACTGTGAGGTAATTGATACTTTCTGTTTTAAATGGCTAGGTTTGGGATAGTCTGTGAGTCAGTCACAGATCAATACTACAGGAATCACATAGTACTGCTGCCGTCAGCAGGGATTTGTGGGAGAGGTTTGGCCTGTGCAGTTCACACATCCATGTGAAAGCATTAAGGGTAGCTCAGATTTAAAACAGTGACTCCCTGAATGAAGGCAGTGTTCTGCCCCGGAGAACAGGGATGGGCTTGGTGTGCAATCCACATTTGTTGGTTGAAGAGCGGTGCCCTCACTGTAGAAGAAGACAGGTAACAGTGGCAATGTGTCAGAATAGTCACATCTAGACATTCCTCTCACAAACGCTAGGTAGCAGAAATAAAGCTCTCGTTGGCTGAGATCCCTACACACTCCGTGTATGCAAATCAGGACATGGATTCCTTGCCAGCAAGACTTCAGATGGACCCTTCTTTCCCTTTGAGTATAGCAACCAGTGGTTTCTTGATCCTTTTCAATCCATAGAATGGTTTCTCAAGTCTTTCTTGGAGCAGTTGTTCTGAGAAATGGTTTCCAAAGGATGGAAACAAGTGAGTTCTGAGAAGTTACATCTCCTTTTGTTTGTTAGGGGGCTGTCTAGACATGACTGTTCTGACACCCAGCTCTAAGCCTGGCCCACTCAGTCAGGTAATAGAGACCTGACACTGCCGTGTCCACTCAGCTACCCCTCCTACAACCCAGTTTGGAGGAGCATGCATTCTTCCTAACATTTTCACACCAGGACAACTTTGTCAAAAGATTTTGTGGTTTTGCGGTTGTATAATCGAATCTGGCCACTTGCTTTCATGAGGATGTCTCCAACTCTACAATATGTATCATAGCACCCCAGCTAGCTGGCATTTTGAAGGCAAAGATTTGGTCTCATGCATCCTCTGTCATATTGCACACAAAGGCAGGTGATCACATGTGCTCCTTGGACTCATGCAAGGAGCCACGCAGATTCACAGGTACAGAAATATGTTTGTTGCCACCGTTCACTCAGATGTGCCAAGAAAATGTAGCTTTTTAATTTCTCATAACTGATCTGCTCTTCATCAGCAGCCTCCAACCCACTGGGTAACTACTAAGAGAAAGAAAAGTAATACTTGCTCAGCGTATGGTTTCATAGCTTATTTGGCCACAGGTAGTCTTGCTTCTAGATCACTCAGGCTCTTTCTGGTTTCAAGTTAAGTTGTTCGGATTTCCTCCACAGCTGGTTCCTTTTCAGGATGGTGCATGGGAAGGTAGAGAGTCTTCAGGAGTTGGTGGTGGCAGAGATGGGGGACCCGGAACCTTTGTTCAATCATCTCACTCACAATATGGATTGAACCCCTGCTATGTACCAGGTGTGTTCTGGGTGCTGAATATATAGCAGTGAACAAAACAAAGTCCTCACCCTCTGGCTTCATGGATCTTATATTCTTCTGGATGTGCGGTGGATAATAAATAGACAAATAATTTGCAATGTGTCGGGGAGATGAGCAATACACGGGGATGGAGAGGCAGGCTGAGGGAAATAGGGCGTGCAGGGTGAGACCATCATTATCCAGGTAGTGTGGGCAGGGAAGTCCCCATTAATACGAAGCCATCTGAAGCTAAATCCCGAAGACACTGAAGGTCTGAATATGGGGAACGGCCTTCCAGGCATAGAGACTATCAAGTGCAAAAGGCCTCAGGCAAGAGCATGTGTGATGTCAGAGGAAGAGCAAGGAGGTCCAGCTGGCTGGACTGGAGCAGGTGAATGGGAGAGGCAGTGGGCAGACAGACTGTGGTGGGCCTGGAGGACCATGGGAAGGAGTTTTGCTTTTACTCTAAATGAGATGAGAAGACAGTGGAAGATTCTGCACCAGGTAGATTTTAGAGGTCTCACTATAGCTGCTGTGTGGAGAATAGACTGTAGACAGCAAGGGTAGGAGAAGAAAGGTGAGTTAGGAGGCAACTTCAAAATCCTGGGGTAGATGACAAGGGCACAGGCCAGGGTAGCAGTGCCGGGGGCGGAGTAGGCAAGGTTTACTAATGGCAGGGGAGAAAAAGGGACCACACATGTTTTGTGGGATTTCGTTGAGCAACTAGAAGACTGGTGTTTCCATATGGAAAAAGGGAAGACTGAGAGGGGGCAGTTTTCTAGGGACAGAAGAGGTCAAGGCATTCAGTTTTGGAGATATATATATTTTTTTTTTCAAGAAGGAGCCTCACTCTGTTGCCCAGGTTGGAATGCAGTGGTGCAATCTCGGCTCACTACAACCTCCGCCTCCCAGGTTCAAGCAATTCTCTTGCCTCAGCCTCCCAAGTAGCTGGGACTACAGGCATGTGCCACCATGCCCGGCTACTTTTTTTACTTTTAATAGAGAGGGGTTTTCACCACGTTAGCCAAGCTGGTCTCGAACTCCTGACCTCAGGGGATTCATCAGCCTTAGCCTTCCAAAGTGCTGGGATTACAGGCGTGAGCCACCACACCCAGCTCAGTTTTGGATACTTTTATTTACTTATTTATTTATTTTATTTTTTTGAGACGGAGTCTCACTCTGTTGTCCAGGCTGGAGTGCAGTGGCATGATCTTGGCTCACTGCAACCTCTGCTTCCCAGGTTCAAGCAATTCTCCTGCCTCAGCCTCCTGAGTAGCCGAGACTACAGGTGCACACCACCACACCTGGCTAATTTTTGCATTTTTAGTAGAGAGGGAGTTTCACCATGTTGGTCAGGCTGGTCTTGAACTCCTGACCTCAGGTGATCCACCCACCTTGGCTTCCCAAAGTGCTGGGATTACAGGCATGAGCCACCATGCCCAGCCGATACTTTTATTTTGTAAGTGGAAATGGTGAGGAAGGAACTGCCTTTAACAATCTGGTGTTCAAAGAAGAGCTAGGACTAGAGACATGCACATGTTTAAAGCTGTGATATTGGATTATATCACTAAGAGAAGAAGTTACGAAGTCCAGAGTTTAGATACCAAGAAGAATAAAAGATATAAAGGAATAAAGGATTATCTGCAAAAAGGACTGAGAAGTGTGGCAGGGCCCAGCCATTGGCCCTGGTCTCAAAGTCTGCACCCTTAACAGTCCCTTTTTCCTGACCACAAACCTCTGTGGGTCCCCAGCCCTCTCAGCATCCTCTCTGGGTCTGGTAAGATTATCTGAGTCCTCTGCTCTCCTGAGCCAGCAGTGGAGAGCTGGGAGTGCTGCCCCAGGCTCCCTCATCCAGCCACTTCCTCAGCGGATGCCTTATGACTGCTTCTTGTCACCCTGAAGAAGTGGGACTTTAGTTGGGAGCTGGGAGCTTTCTCCAGCACATGCCCAGGTATGTGTGACACAAGCCCACCTTTCACTTTAACATTCGCAGGTTCCCTACTTCTCTCCCCTGCTCTTCACCTGCGGGCATGCATGTGCCCTCGCACATGAGCGTGCGCGTGCACACACACACCTACCTGTCTGTCCCTAGGAATGCGAACCTATGTGATCTCTTGTCCCTGCTCTGTCTCTTTGTATCCCTCATATGCTTCTTTCTAGCACCCAATGAGATGGGTCTTCTCTCTGACATGGACCGTCCTTTCTTAAAATTTATCCATCTAGCCAGCCAGGCAGGGCTTTCAATGCATTAAAGGAAGAGTTCTAAAATTTAGAAATTCCTGCTCTTTTTCCACAAAGCCTAGCTTTCAAGAGAAAGCTCCTGATTAAGTGGCCAAGTAAGTGAGATTTGACACCAAAAGGTGCTTGGTTGCCTCTTAGTTCTCCATGGCTCTCACCTTCTCCTTCCCTGGGGCAGTAGACTCCTTGGCTCAGACTTGGAGGGGAAGAGCTGAAAAGAATATGAGTTAAGGGAAAAATGGGCCAGATGGGGTGGCTCACGTCTGTAATTGCAGCACTTTGGGAGGCCAAGGCAGGTGGACTGCTTGAGGCCAGGAGTTCAAGACCAACCTGGGCAAGACTGCAAAACCCCCTCTACTAAAAATACAAAAAATCAGCTGGGTGTGGTGGCGCACACCTGTAATCCCAACTACTTGGGAGGCTGAGGCATGAGAATTGTTTGAACCAGGGAGGCGGAGGATGCAGTGAGCCAAGATCATGCCACTGTACTCCAGCCTAGGCAATGGAGAGAGACGCTGTCTCAAAAAAAAAAAAAAAAAAAAAAAAAAAAAAGGCGGGGGAAGGGAGGGGTGGGCGGTGGTGGTGGTGTGTAAATGAAACCGTATCATTTTAATATTTTAATAATCAAAATACGATTTTCTTCCCAACTCAACCCTCTGTACCCAGATAACAATCTCTTTTTCCCTTTCACTTTCTACACATCTAAAAGAGAAGGTAAAGAGGGAAATTCTGAATGGAAAACTTTAGAGGCCACACTAGCTGGGTAAGTAGGGCAGAGACCGAGTGAGGGCTGAGAAGAAAGGGAGCAAAGAGTGGACAGCAGGAGAGGATAGATGAAGTCATTGGACAGATAATCTGAGCTGCGAATGGAAGGCAAGGGGGAGAATCTCAGAAGCTTCCTCCTTGGTCTTCACCAGGTTGGGAATGGGTTGCCGAATGGGAGAGGGCATATTTTTAGCATGTAAGTTCCCCAACCCTGGAGTCAAGTTCAGAGAGAGGGCTGGAGAGCTCAGCTCCATGGCATGAAGAGGGAAGCTGCAGGGAGTTGCTACTGAGCCCAACTGAGATTTAGCACATTGATTTTTGCCTTTATTTTTTTCTAGGTGCTGCGGTTTGTGATTGAGTGGGGAGGTTGGGGAGGACAGCCAAGGCTTTTACAGATGCCAATACTCTAGCAAGAAATAAGGAAGAGTGGCTGCTAAAAGAGCTGAGATTTTCCATTCTACCCTCCTGTGCCTCATTTTTCTTTTCCTCTTTCCACTTTCTTGGCTGAGTCTGCCTGTCAGTAAGATGATCAACAGCTGTGGGAAGCACAGAGCAGGACTGGGAGGAAGCCTCCAAGCAGGAGTCAGGACGTTTGTCCTGAGTAGGGCTGATGGTCTAAACTTGACCTTGGCCACCCAGCTCCTTGGCCCAGGCCCACCTTCCTTCATTCACTGTTTCACTCTTGTATCCACTGAATACCTATGCAGTGTCTTCTATGGAGTATCCACTTAAGTCAAGCACTAGGCATCCCATTATGGCAAAATAGACATGGTCTTGACCTCAAGGGGCTCACACTCTGGGAAGATAGGTAACAATGAATAAATGGCAAGAGATCAATATGTGATTACAGATTACTGATAAGTGCCACAAAGGAAAACAAAAGGACTCTATGAAGGAGAATTACCAGGTAGAGGCTGCCTACTTTAGATGGTGGTCAAGGATGGTTTCTCTGAGAAGAGACATTTAAGCTAGAACCTGAAGGATGACATAAAGCAGAGGTGAGACCTGAATCACTACCCACAGGGATGGTGTGCCAAGGAAAACAAGAGACAATGAGGAAATGAGCTCAGGGGGACTCCTCAAATCCAATAGAACAGATTTACAGCGATGTTCCATATTTTTGGTTATGCTTATTCATTAAAATCCACCTGCAAGTTTGCATCTATCAAAGGAAATACAGTATCTGAATATACAATGCCCTTGACATATGCACATTAAGCTACATAGTGGTACATGTCTTCCACTTTTTAGTAGAACTTTCTAAATTAAAAGAATTTATGAATGATGTTATAAATGAGGATTTAAAATACTTTTTATAAGGCCAGGCATGGTGACTCATGCCTATAATCCCAGCACTTTGGGAGGCCAAGGCTGGTGGATCACCTGAGGTCAGGAGTTTGAGACCAGCCTGGCCAATATGGTGAAACCCCGTCTCTACTAAAAATACAAAAAATTAGCCAGGTGTGGTGGTGTGTGCCTGTAGTCCAAGCCACTCAGGAGGCTGAGACATGAGAATTGCTTGAAACCAGGAGGCAGAGGTTGCAGTGAGCTGAGATCACGCAACTGCACTTCAGCCTGGGCCACAGAGTAAGACTCTGTCTCCAAAAAATAAAAATAAAAAAAATACTTTAGATAAAAAGTCAAGAATCCAAGATGCTTGTGGAATTAACTGTCTTCCTCATTTCCATTGGAGAAAGCCTCATATTTTTCATTAAAAAAAGGAAACTGAGTATGTTCCAAGACCTTCCTTATACAGTGGTGACATTCTCATGTTGTAGCATTTGAGCTATCACCACCAAATGTCATTAAATCCATGCTGTGTATGCTTGTGACTATGGTCTCAAATATTCTTTCCTTTTTTTTTTTCCTCCTAGTCTCTATCTCTATATCCATCATTCAATAAATACTTAGTAAATACCTAATGTGTGCCAGACAACATTCTTGCTGGGAACACAGCAGTAAACAAAACAGAACAAAACAGACTAAGTTCCTCTTCTCATGAAGCAGGAGCACAGATCATGGAGACCACAATAAGAACTTGGGATTTCATTTTTGGTAAGATGGCAATCATTTGGAGAGTTTGATTAATGTAATCTGATTTCCATTTTAAAATAAAAATGTTGTGACTGCAAATAGATAGTAGGGAAGCAAGGCTGGACGCAGGGAGGGCAATTGGGAGACCTTTGCACCACCATAGGGAAGATAAGTTTGTCACTTGGAACAAGGTGGCACAGCTTGATGGTAGAGGTAGCTGATTTCTGGACATATTTTGAAGGTAAGGCATACAGAATTTGCTAATGGACTTAACGTGGAGCATGAGAAAAAGAGATGAGTTAAGACAAGCTTTATGTTTTCTGGCCCAAGAAATTGGAAAAATAGAATAAATGTTTATTGAGATGGGAGGGGCTTTGGGAGGAAGTTTTGGACTTGCTAGATTTGGAAGGCCTGTATTAAATTAAATAAGCAGGAGGCCATTTGCCTGAGGCTGTTTCTCTACTTTGACTCACTATGTAGCAAACTGCAAGCTAACTCAGTAAGTAAACAAACTGAAAACCTAATTTAGGAGTATATATTTTGTAACCGATAGCCCAGTCTTAGCCAATACAAGCAGCTAAGCTTTAATCATAGGCAGCCAACTGATCAGACCATGTCCAAATAATGCAAACACCTAGCTGTAACCAATCAAGCTATTTCTGTACTTCACTTCCATTTTCTGTCTATAAGTACTCACTACCCACTTTGCAGGGCAGTCTCCAAACCTCTTCTAGTTCTGAGTGCTGCCCAACTCATGAATCATTCTTTGCTCAAATAAACTCTGTTAAATTTAATTTGTCAAAAGTTTTTCTGTTAACACTGATTAGGCATTCACATGGAGATGTTGACGAGATGGCAAACCATATGTGTGCCTGGAACTTAACTAACACCTACCTCACTCATAATTTTGTCCAATTCCTTCTTGGCCAGCTCAAAGTCTTTTCTATCTTGTCATGACACTTCATGATGCCTTTGAATCTGGGCACTTCTATCCTCACTCCACACTTCTGAGTAGGTACAATTTCCTCTGGGTTCTCATGCTCCTCTTTTCTCCTAAATCAAAAGATGAACAGGTAGTTAGATGGTACCCCACATTTCAAAAATGACCATTTAAATGCCGCTCTCACCTTACTTGCATTATCAACTTTTTTCCAGTATTCTACGCTAAAGCAAACATTCTTGCTTAAGTTGAATTGCAGTTACATAAACTAACTCTCAGGGCTTTGTTCTATTTCAAGCTCACCAAGCAAGCCTCTGACAACAAGGTTTTTTATCTACCTTGGTATGGGAAATGGGTATTTGGAACAGTGGAAACAAGTTATTTTTCCCCTGTAAAAATATACTGATGCTAACTTATAAACAATCTCTAAAGCTCAGTGTCTTAATACAATAACATTTTATTTCTTGTCCACATGATAATCCAGAGTGAATCAGGCATCTCTCCTGGTGGCTCTCTTCCATGTGGTGACTCATGGATCCAGGATTCTTCTATTGTGTTTCTCCTCCATTGCAAAATCCTTTACTTCCAGCATTTGAGACATTTTTTGGCTATATCTACAACTGGTATATATCACTTCTGCCCACATTCACTTGGGTAGAACTCAATTACATTGCTTCACCTAATTGCAAGTGAGGCTGAGGAATATAGTTTCCCTATGTGCCCAGGCAGAAGAAACAGGATTGGTGAACATCTTGCCCATCTCTACCACTAACAGTTTATCCCCCCTAATAAATCAATACACTGACACTCTAGTTTTGTCTTTGTTCTCTTGCGAATGTTATAGTGTGACCCTACAATGTGTGATTGCTCCTGGTGAATCAAAAGGATAAAGCTGCTGATTCTGCAATTTGAGAACCCAACCATGCTGACCTCAAAGTGTAGTCAATCCATGAAGTTCCTCCCACCACAGTTCATCCTGAACACTGTCCACCTGAGTCATCAAGAAAGGTTTAAGTACATTACCTGTGCTCTGTTTAATATGTTGGCGAAGCGTGTCCTAAATTTAGTTATTTCGAGGATCTCCTTCTAGTTCCGAAGTAAGCCAGGTTCTACCGCTGTCAAGTGTTACTCATGGCTAGCTGAGGAAAAGGGGTTCAAAAACAGTGAGAAGAAGAAAAGGAGGGAAAAGGCTGGGTTAATGGGGACAGGGGTAAGGGGTGAGACCCCAGCTAAACAGTGAAGATAAAAACAGACATGTAAATGAGAGGAAAGAAGAGAAGGTAATGGTGAAAGTCAGTACAGGAAGGAAAGGGGTTGTAGGGGACAAACACTGAGAGCGCAAGAACGTGGAAAAGGTGAAACTAAGATGAGCGAGGAGGCTGAAGAGAGGTCAGCTGCAGCGGGAAAGAGGGAAGGGCCCTTTAAGAAACACATCAAGCCGCAGGTGTGGGCCACGAGGCTGGCGCAGCGCTGTCGCTCCACGCGCCGCAGACTCAACCGGGAGCGCCTTGGGAGCTGCGGAGCCCTAGAGCCTCCATCCGGGCAGCAAACCAGCTCACGTGTCCCACCCGGGAAGGGCAGGGGTGGGCGGGGAATGGTGGAGGGAAAGGAGGGAAAGCGGAGAAACAGGAGGGAGGGTGAAAGCTGCCGCTGCAGAAAAGAAACGAGTAAGCCCCTTTGTGCTTGGCATGCGAGGTGTTTCCTTCCCGATCAGACTCGAAGCTGTCATCTCTCAGTCTAGGTTTGGAATAAATACAGTCGCCCACTGAGAGATAAGGCGGCGCCTGGCCGCACCTGGGAGGTACCTGGTCGCACCTGGAAGGGCCTGGTCGCACCTGGCAGGTACCTGACCGCTCCTTTTCTGGAGCCACGGGTACGGGCCCCTCCCGGACTTTCTACTGCTCTGCAGGAGGATCTGAGGACTATAACCTCCGCTCCTCCCTCCCTGCCCCTCCCCCTCGCACCCCCTCCCCCTCCCTTCCCTCTCCCTCCTCCCTTTCCTCTCCCCTCCCTCCTCCCTTCCCCTTCCCCTCCCCTTCCCCTGCCCTTCTCTCTGTCTGCTTCTCTCTTCTCTCTTTCTCTCTTGTTCTTTCTGGGCCATATCTGAGACTTCTCTAGGGTCCATAGACGTTACCCAGTATACAGAGCAATTAATATAAAGGGCATCACTAAAGCCACCTCAATTGAAGGTTTCTTTCCTCAGGCAGCTTGGGTGACTTTCTTCTGTTACACTAAGTCTCCTCACTGCCAAACTCCACCCCAAGCCTGTGGGTTAAAAATAAACAATTTACAACTGTTTAGAGCAGCTTTTCTGTTGGAACAGCTGATAATACATTGCACAGTTCTAAAGTAATGGAGCTGACGTTTCAAGCTCCCTAGAAAAACTACTTCATCACTTCAGCTACACATCAATGGTGGCATTGTTTCACTCAAATATTTAAGCATGGATTGAATGCCCTTTCCATGTGCCCCCAGTTGTCACCCTTCTTTGTGGCTCTTTGGGCCAGGTTCCCTGGAGCTGGAGGAAGGCATGGGCGGTTGGTGTCATCCGTGCTTCTACCTCTGTCTGCCTCTTGGAAGCTTTGGAAACCAAGGCTCTTGGGTTGCCTGAGTTGCCTGAGTCCACCAAGCACTTTCTGAGCTCCATTCTTTTTTTTTTTTTTTTTTTGAGACAGAGTTTTGCTCTTGTTGCCCAGGCTGGAGTGCAACGGCATGATCTCGGCTCACCACAACCTCTTTCTCTGGGGTTCAAGGGATTCTCCTGCCTCAGCCTCCCGAGTAGCTGGGATTACAGGCATGCACCACCACACTTGGCTAATTTAGTATTTTTAGTAGAGATGAGGTTTCTCCATATTGATCAGGCTGATCTCGAACTCCCGACCTCAGATCTGCCTACCTCGGCCTCCCAAAGTGCTGGGATTACAAGCATGAGCCACCATTCTTGTAGACCTCTTCTTCCTTTTAGTTCTTGCCCTGTTTCCTTCTTGCTCATAGGGTCTCCTGGCCCTTCCTTTACTCTAATTCCACTTATTTTAGCAACTCTGTAGCCTGCTTTCTGGAACAACTACACAAGGGAGTTCCCTTATCCTCTCACAGCTCCCTGGCCTTGGCAATACTGGGCTTACCTGGATGCTCCAGGGCCCAACCCTGTCACCACATTACCTTGACCTACAGTGAGCCTCCAGGAAGCTAGCATCCTCTGTTGCCAAGTCCCAGCTGAGTTCTGCTTATAAATGAACATTTTTTTTTTTTTTTTTTTTGAGACAGAGTCTCGCTCTGTTGCCCAGACTGGAGTGCAGTGGCACAATCTCGGCTCACTGCAAGCTCCGCCTCCCGGGTTCACGCCATTCTCCTGCCTCAGCCTCCCGAGTAGCTGGGACTACAGGCGCCCACCACCATGCCCGGCTAATTTTTTGTATTTTTAGTAGAGACGGGGTTTCACTGTGTTAGCCAGGATGGTCTCAATCTCCTGACCTCATGATCCGCCCGCCTCGGCCTCCCAGAGTGCTGGGATTACAGACGTGACCCACTGCGCCCAGCCTAAATGAACATTCTTAAGAAGTTGAGTCTATTTGCTATTCCAGAGACACAGCCTAATTTCCACCTTAGTCTCAGTTTCTACTCAGGATACTGCCACTCTAAAGGAAGGCTGTGGAGTTGAGCTCCCAAAATGACTGTCTTTAGATAATAGAGTGCCTTGTAGACTCCCAGAGCTTGACTCGACCTTAGACATCCTCTAGTCCAGTGGTTCCCAAAGGAGATGCAGAGGATTAGTAGAGCTGAAACATGACAGCGAGAGGAAACCAACAGTGTTTCCGAGCATCTGTAACATTCGGGCAAGGTAGACTAGGAAAATGGTTCCATGCCCAGCTGATCATCAGGGTCACAGGGGAGCTGAGTTGCCAAGTTTCTGCTCAGTGTACCTTTCCCTTGTCTACTGAGATTCCCTGAAATGTTTGTTTGTTTTTTTTTTTTTTAATTGAGACGGAATCTTCCTCTTGTCACCCAGGCTGGAGTGCCGTGGCGTGATCTCGGCTCACCGCAACCTCCGCCTCCCAGGTTCAAGTGATTCTCCTGCCTCAGCCTCCTGAGTAGCTGGGATTACAGGCATCCGCCACCATGCCCAGCTAATTTTTGTACTTTTAGTAGAGATGGGGTTTCGCCATGTTGGCCAGGCTAGCCTCAAACTCCTGACCTCAGGTGATCCTCCTGCCTTGGCCCCCCAAAGAGCTGGGATTACAGGCATGAGCCACCGCACCTGCCTCTAAAATGTTAACTATTTCTTCAGATTCTTTGTCCACTTGTTCTTCTGAAATTTTCTATCCTCCCTACTAATTTTTTTGGTGGCTTTCTCCTTCCTCTTCACTTACTCTATTTCCTAAAATTCTCTGCTTTTCCACCCACCAGTTGAGTCCCACACAAATAGCATAGGATAGCATAGAAATCATCATCACTTTATATTTACGATGTGTCTTCATATTTATTCTCATTCATGCTATCTTCTAAAGAACGTACCATCTAGATAAGTTCTCCCTCTCTCCCATGCTCAGTTGGCACACAATGGCATGTCTATGAATGTACACAAGTAATAGGATGTTTAATACCAGTCTTCCTGAGGTCTACTATTTCCACCAAATCCCTAAAAGTAGAGAACAATGTAATAGACGTCACATCCCCCATATACTAGAAGGTGTTGAATCACATGCAAAACACCTCATGAGCTTAAGAAACCAGTGTTGCTACAGTTAGTCCACCACTTGCCATTGTCCCATGGAAGGAGTCATCCACATGCTTACAGAGTTTTGATGCTGATATGATTTGGCTGTGTCCCCACCAAATCTCAACTTGAATTGTGTCCCCCAGAATTCCCACGTGTTGTGGGAGGGACCCAGAGGGAGGTAATTAAATCATGGGACCAGTCTTTCCTGTGCTATTCTCATGATAGTGAGTAAGTCTCACGAGATATGATGGGTTTATCAGGGGTTTCCACTTTTGCTTCTTCCTCATTTTCTCTTGCTGCCACCGTGTAAGAAGCGCCTTTCACCTCCTGCCATGATTCTGAGGCCTCGCCAGTCATGTGGAATTGTAAGTCCAATTAAACCTTTTTGTTACCAGTTTTGGGTATGTCTTTATCAGCAGGGTGAAAACGGACTAAAACAGTAAATTGGTACCAGTAGAGTGGGCCACTGCTGAAAAGATACCCAAAAATGTGGAAGTGACTTTGGAACTGGGTAACAGGCAAGGGTTGGAACAGTTTGGAGGGCTCAGAGGAAGACAGGAAAATGTGGGAAAGTTTGGGAATTTCCTAGAGACTTGCTGAATGGCTTTGCCCAAAATGCTGATAGTGATATGGACAATAAGTTCCAGGTTGAGGTGGTCTCAGATGGAGTGAGGAACTTGTTGGTAACTGGAGTAAACGTGACACTTGTTATGTTTTAGCAAAGAGACTGCTAAAGCCAGAGCATTTTGCCCCTGCCCTAGAGATTTGTGGAACTTTGAACTTGAGAAAGATGATTTAGGGTATCTGGCAGAAGAAATTTCTAAGCAGCAAAGCATTCAAGAGGTGACTTGGGTACTGTTAAAGGCATTCAGTTTTGTAAGGGAGCAGAGCATAAAAGTTCGGAAAATTTGCAGCCTGACTACATGATAAAAAAGAAAAACCCATTTTCTGGGGAGAAATTCAAGTGGGCTGCAGAAATTTGTATAAGTAGCAAGGACCCTCATGTTAATCCCCAAGACCATGGGAAAAATGTCTCTAGGCCATGTCAGACCTTCACAGAAGCCCTTCCCATCATAGGCCCAGAGGCCCAGGAGCAAAAAACGGTTTCATGGGCCAGACCAAGGGTGCCTGTGCTGTGCGCAGCCTAGGGACTTGGTCCCCTGTGTCCCAGCTGCTTCAGCTGTGGCTGAAAGGGTCCAACATACAACTTGGGCTGTGGCCTCAGAAGGTGGAAGCCCCAAGCCTTGGCAGCTTCCATGTGGTGTTGAGCCTGTGGGTGAACAGAAGTCAATAATTGAGATTTGGGCCAGGCACGGTGGTTCATGCCTGTAATCCCAGCACTTTGGGAGGCTGAGGTGGGCCGATCACCTGAGGTCAGGAGTTCAAGATCAGCCTGGCAAACATGGCAAAACCCCGTCTCTACTAAAAATATAAAATTAGCTGGGCATGGTGGTGTGCGTCTGTAATCCCAGTGAATCAGGAGGCTGAGGCAGGAGAATCACTTGAACCTGGGTGGCAGAGGTTGCAGTGAGCTGAGATCGCACCACTGCCCACCAGCCTGAGTGACAAGAGTGAAACTCCATCCAAAAAAAACCACAAAAAACAGTTGAGGTTTGGGAATCTAGATTTCAGAAGATATATGGAAATGCCTGGATGCCCAAGTGAAAGTTTGCAGGGGCAGAGCCCTCATAGAGAACCTTTGCTAGGACAGTGCAGAAGGGAAATGTGGGGTTGGAGCCCCAACACAGAGTCGCTACTGGGGCACCACCTAGTGGAGCTGTGAGAAGAGGGCCACTGTTCTTCAGACCCCAGAATAGTAGATGCACTGACAGCTTGCACAGTGCACCTGGAAAAGCTGCAGACACTCAATGCCAGCCCATGAAAGCAGCTGGGAGGGAGGCTGTACCCTGCAAAGCCAAAGGGGCAAAGCTGCCCAAGACCATGGGAACCCACCTCTTGCCTGGATGTGAGACGTGGAGTCAAAGGAAATCATTTTGGAGCTTTAAAATTTGATTGCCCCACTGGATTTCAGACTTGCATGGGCCCTGCAACCCCTTTGTTTTGGCCAATTTCTCCCATTTGGAATGGCTGTATTTACCCTAGATACCTGTACCCCCATTGTATCTTACTTTTGATTTTACAGGATCATGGGCAGAAGGGACTTGCCTTGTCTTAGATGAGACTTTGGACTGTGGACT